CAAAAGCAGGTTTGATTTCATGCATCTCTCAGTAGCAGCACCAAACCCTTTTATTCTTATCACAGTTCTATAATTATCTTTCATGGGGTTGGAAAACTGAGATTAGTATTTGCTTGGTCTTCCATGTACTAGGTGGGAAAGATGATTAACCATATAACAATTAGCACTGTTTTTAAGAAAGTAAGTAGTTCAGAGGAGTGGTTACTGATACTGATGGCATACAGAGGATGCATTTGTGTGTTGTTTATAACTCCCTCTCTTTTTTTACTTGAATAGAGAATTTGCAAAAACCATCAAGCGCCCGTTTGGCGTGAAGTACAATCCGTATACTCAAAGTGTGCAGATCCTGAAAGACATGAAGAGCATTGCCAGCGTGGTGAATGAGCTACGTCATGAGCTGGACGTTGTCAGCGATGCCCTCAGCAAGATGGGCAAGCAGCTGGAAGTTTAATACACCCCTGTCAGCACTGTGGTGCAACTCTTTTCTTTCCCCTACTGATTTCTTTCTAGGCACGTAATGTGTTGTATGCAGAACTCTCTCCTTTAAAAATGGAAGAGTGAATGGCCCATAAGGATAATCACTTCGTCTTGTTTCTCTGTGTAAAATCCCTTACAGAATGTATTCCTCCATCCCCCTTGGATCAAAAAAGGCCCAGAGTTGCCTTTGAGAAGTTGGTGGGGGAGTAGAGAAATTGCTAGACTGGAGCATGAGTGTGGTCTGTGGATCAGGGCTGGGATCGGATGCTGCAGAAGGTGGCTTATAAGGCAATAATGGAATAATTTGCTGCAGGGAAATGTCCGTTTCTGACTCTAGTTGTCTATGCTACTAATTGTATAACATTGCAGACTTTATAGTGTAGAAGCTATAGTAATCAGTGCTTCTAAGTCTGCTACTAAGTTTAAAACTTGAATGATTACAACACAGGCATCACGACACAAATAGCTGGAGGTTCACAATGATAAAATTGAGGGGTCAACTCTTGCTTTCAAAGTGATCGTTCTTGCCCCCAAAGAATTTCAAATGTGCTGTTTGGCAGGCTTCTAGTATAAGGCAGAGATTCAGAGCTGTTGCATGACATCCTAATTCTGTCCATTTTAAGAGATTGCTATCGGCTTAGTCAGGATTTTTGTTGCTGTCCTTGATATTGCACCTGAGGGAAGACCTTTCCTTACAGAAATACCATTTGCCTTTTTCCTGATTGAATTCATTTGGCAAAAAATATAGCGAGCCATCAGGTACTGACTTAGCACAAAGCCTAAACGCATTTCCAAATTACAATTTAATATTCAAAATAGTTTCATCATTTCTAAAATAACACCAAATTTCATAGTCTAGTTTGACTTTCTGTAAGATTAAGTATCCTATTGATTGCTCGGTCACTTCATTGACCCACACAAGCTGCACAGAGATACATTTTGTTTCTTCTTTACTAGGCCCAAACACCTTCATTCTGTATCAAGCAAATGATAACTGAAAGGCCCAAGCATTTCATAGGAATTCTGCAGCTATGAATGCAGCAAACTACTTTGTAGTGTAAAGTAATCTAATTCCAAAGAGCACTTTACAGGTAGTGGGAAGCAGTGTACTGCTGAATTGTCTCTGTCACATGCAAAGCTTCTGTCACATGGAAGCAAACTTCCCAGTTTTTGGGGCTCCATAGTTTTCAGCATCTTGCGTAGCTGTGTAAAACTGCACTGGCTGCTGTTTCTGCTGGCCCTGCCAATGAAATAAATATATCTACATATGTATTTAATGCATGCTAGGCACTGATTCTTCATAGGTAGAGCTTATCAGAAATCCAGAATTTGCAGCTGTGAAGGTTGCTGGGAAAAATTTACTGAAATCTTAAATACATTGGAGATGCTAGTCCAGGATTTTAAGAACTTGAAAGGACTTTCATGAACCTCTGTGCTTGAAAATCTGTTTATTTCATAGGCTTTCTAGCAGGCCACATCTACTCCATAAGCAATCACTGGCCCAATCTTTCCAAATATATTCACTGTTTAAATCAAGTCTAGATATTTTTTTTTTTTTGTGACTATTAACCCACCATAACTATTTTTTTAAAGAACATTTAAGACATGGAAATATGGTCTACATTTACAGCTTACGTTACACTTTAAAATAGATTTTAGGAGCTTTGGCTTTCTGAAGAAGGAACCTTATAAGTGAGTAGTAAGGGAGGATCTATTTTGTCTCCTTCTGTGATAACAGTTAATATTCAGCTGCATTTTAAAAAATGTTGGGATTAATATATTGTTGAAATATACATAGATCTGTGTTACTTCACATCTTTGTCTGAACTATGTATACATTTCAAGTAGGAAATACATAGCACGTAATTTCAAATACTTTGGAAAAACAGAAATTGTATCTTTATTTGCACTTGTGTAGCAAAAATTAAGGAAACTGTAAAAGTAATACAGAGAAGATGTGTTTCCATGGCATTAACAACATGTGTGTTTGGCTTCATGCATCCAAACCTTCTGGCTATGTAGAACAGTAATAATTTAAATATCTCAAACTACTGTGGAGGCTTTAAATGTCAATGGAATAAATTACTTGTTGGTAATTATTAGAAGCGACAAAACCTTTACTTCAGCGCTGTAGCAATAAACACAAAGCACTCACTTCTGCCTAAGGGTTTGTATATGTTTTACGCTGTGGTTCAGATACTCCACTCGTGTGACTTAATTCCATTGGGAACTGTGTATATTTATTTGAGGAGTGACTTCTTTTCCCCTCATCTTTGTTTCTGTTGAAACGGGCGCGTCAGGGAAGAGCTTCACAGGCCCCAGTGGGTGCTCCGTACCCCCCGCCACCCGCGGGGCTCCCTCCGCGCCGGCAGGCCACGGCGCTTGGCCTTTTTGGGGAAGGTTTTCGTGAAAGCAGCGGCGGGAGCTGGAGGCTGCCCGTGGAGAACAGCTTGGGGGGGGCCATCAGGACGGCAGCTGTCCGCCACAGCCGGCCCCCAAACGCTCCGGAGGGCCTCGAGGGGGTCAAATGGTTCTTCCCGCCCTTGACGGGGAACTCGTCAGGCGAAGGCTTCCCGGGGGCCCCGAGAATACACCCAGAGCACCGCCGGACTGCATACACGGCGGAGGGCAGCCACTCCAGGATTAAGGTGGTGGAAGGTAAAGTCTAGTCATTGACCTTTACTTTTCCTTTCCTTTGTAGTGGAAAAGGGTTTTTTTTTGCCCAGGCTTCTGGCCTGAGGCTGTTCTCAGTTTAGATTTTTAAGCTCACATCTTTCCTAGGTAGAAACGAAAATACCACGGCTGAACTGGATGCTGCTGCCACAGCTCAGGTGACAGAGTCAGCTTTGCTTTTTATCGCCTGCTCAACTCTCCAGGGAAAATGTAGCCTGAATTCGCCAATTCGTGCCTTTGTTTCTCCTCCTTTTTCATCACAGCGGTGACTTTTCAGCCTGGTCTAAGCAAGTTGTGTCTGTGCTTCGGGAGAGCTCTGTAACGCACCGTCCTTCTGCAGCAGATCGCTCAGACTAGCAACCGCCACAGCTCCATTTCAACGTGGGGTTTTGGGGATGATGTGATTCTTCCTTCAGTCCACTTGGCTATGAGACAGTTGAGCTCTACAGGTTTTAAAATAAACTCCTCTCCAGCAGGTTTAGCATTAAAGACTTTTTTTTTTTTTTTTTGGTGGGTCATCAGAACCGTGATTTTACCTGATAAGCAGAGGGGGTCTAAGAGCCACTAAATGGGTATCTCTTTTGCTTGTTGGCTCATTTTGCTTTGCGGTAGTCGTGTTTGGTAATAACCTGTCGGTCTCGGAAGCGTGAATGAAGACGGGTAGGTTAGTGCTGGGGCGGACACTCGCGTGTGGCTTGGAGTTCCTCAGGTACCTGTTTTCCTTCTGCACCTTATCTCGGCTCGCCCGTTTTTGAAGACTTGAAAATTCATTGCAAGTTAAAGGCTAAAATGAGAGCTCGTGACAAGCTTTCTAAAAAGAATTATGTCTGTTAAGTGGTAACATGCTCTAAAACTGTCTACCAGTTGTAACGACTGTGAGACAACTTGATGTGCTTGTTGAGCTCGAATGCTGACATCTCATCCACCTGTTAACTATGGGCTGAGGCGAGCAGCCAGATGCTTTTGTCTGAAATGTCGGTGTTTCTATAGGTACCAAATGTTTATTGCTAAGTGTGTCCTTTTAAAATACACCAGGTGCTGCATCAGGGGTGGGGGTGTGGGAAATGGAGAGCAGAAAGGCAGGGGGAGCACAGGTGATCACTAGCTGGGGGCAATGCGTGTGTTGGGTGTTGCCTTACTGCAGTGTGTGGGCTGGGAAAGTTACTGAATCCACCTTTGTGAATGAAGGTTGTTCTTCAAACTGTTGAGCGCTTACTTCATAGAGCTTAGATTGACTAAGAAATTCCCTGACGCATTACCATGTTGTCAGTGGTTGCTTTTTATGATTTGTTTTAATTTTGTACTTACAAATTTATAATAATTACAACTGGTATATTTTCGTTTTTACCACTTTAAGTTAAAAGACTTAGCAAATGAGGGATAAGTGTTTCTGCTTTACTTATTTAGGTTCCAGAATAAGGTATCATGTCTTTCTGACCTCGTTTTGGAGGTGGACTGCCAGAAAGCATTGGCATGAATAAGATCTTAGTGATGAGTGGGAATTGTTAGCATTAAAATTAAACAGGTGGTAATCATCCTGATAACAGTGCTTTCCTCCTTCGTAACTGTTAGTCTGCAGTTAAAGTCTTACCAGGATATATTCCAGTATGTTTCTTAAAATACTGGGGTTGCAAGGGCAGCCTTAATGACAGCAAATTTAGGACAGTCCTGGTCTTAATTCTGGAGGTCCTGTGTGACAGCAGTAAGAATGAAGATTGTCGTTTGAGGGGACTGTCAGGAGCAAATAATGGCAGGTTATCCCGTGATGTATCCCTGAGAAGCTTGTTTGCTCTTAGGAGCAGATATGTATCCCTTTTTGTTATTTTTTTTTTAATGTGTTATTTTTCTGTATGTATTTGAAGGGTGCAAACAGCTATGGACAACTTGGTCTTGGTCACAAAGAGGATGTGTTGGTACCTCAGTCACTGAAAGATGTTTCCTGCAAATGTCAAGACATTAAAAGCATTACTGGAGGAGGGGGACATTCTGCAGTTATCACTGGTAAAAACATTGCATTTGCAAGGAGTGTATGACTTCTAAACGCATTTTATTTTGTTTCCCTGATGATTTGGTGCTGCCACCTATCTGTGGCTTCTGTTTCTGAGCAAGTGCCCGTTCTTCCTTGCAAAACAGGTTTCTCTCATACCAATTAACTCGATATTTTGGGGAAATTAGGGAAATTCCTGTTCTGCTTATCTTCTGTGGTTACTTTTTGGCTATATGAGGACTGTTTCATAACCTGTTTCATATAGCACCTTTTTGTATAAAGCAGTCAATTTTTCTGTATAGAGGATGGGGGGGTTGGGAGGGAGGAGTCAAGTGGGAGGTTATTCAGTCTTGAGAAGTTTTAAGGTAAGGAGAAGACTACAACATCTGGCCTTTGAAAAGTTCTGTGTATGCCATAGCTAATTATGGGAAAGAAGGGATACAGACAGATGTGAACAGGATGAAAAACTTCATCATGGATCTTAGTGAGAGATGGCTGTATTACTGTATGGATTGTCTCCCATAACAAACCCAACTCTTAATAGCTGTACTTATTCAGAGGTGTTTCTGATGCATTGGAAATAACTGTTTCTCTTTCTTTTTGCTTCATTGCAGTGCCTAAAATGACACACAATCACCTGTCACAGCATCTCATGACATACGCACTGTTGTTTTTTCTTTCAGGTGCAGGACAACTCTTTGTCTGTGGCCATAACAAAGATGGGCAGTTGGGGTTGAATCACTCAGAAGATATACTGCATTTTACTTTGTGCACTGCCCTGTCTGGCTTTTGTGTAAAACAAGTTGCCTGTGGCTGGGATTTTACAATCATATTAGTAGGTAAATCTGTCTCTCTAAGAGCTAGAGAAATATGTTGATGTAAAGAATGTACTGGAAGTTTCCCATTGCTATTGCTTGTGTGATGCACAGGCACTCACAGCTTTGGGGAGGCTAGAGAGTTGGGCAGAGAGGAACCTAATGAAGTTCAACAAGGGCAAACGTAGGATCCTCCACCTGGCAAGGAATAACCCCATGCAGCAGTGCAGGTTAGGGGCTGACCTGCTGGAAAGCAGCTCTGCAGAGAGGGACCTGGAAGTCCTGGTGGACAACAGGATGATCATGAGGCAGCAATGGGC